CAACTTGTAATGGTTCTTTATGATTAAATAAATAAACGACACCAACCTGATTGTGGGATTAAAAAAAAAAAAAAAAACTATATATATAAATTATTAAAACATAAAATATAAAATTGTTGCTATCAATGAAATTTTTTCTACGTGTTTAAAAAGCCTGTTACTAATTTTCTTATGCAATCAAACGGTAGTTAAGAATAATTTTTTATTTTCTAATTCGATAGTAAAAATATTTTCTAAGTTGAAAAAGTCTATTCGATTACAGGCAATATATTATAATCAAATGTTGGTGATTTTTTTAATTAAATGAAATGAAATAAATAAAAAATTACACTCGATTGTTTATAAGTATACCGAGTACTATTATAAACAAGAACTATTCAGGTATTTATAAAATATAGATAGAACATCTCAATCCAGATCTAAAATTTTATACTTCTAATCTCATATTACTTATCGTTATTGCCTCCACCATATTTCTTTTTGATTTCTTCAATGAACCATGGTTTTTCAGATTGCATTTCTTCTTGTTCTTGTTTCCTGTCAAGCTTCGGTGGATAGTTTTCATAATTACTCATAGCGTCCAGTTTTCGACCCGTTCCATTCTTCAAAGAAAACGTGAATTTTCCTATGAAACTTGGGTCATGTCGTTTGGCCATCTTTATACTATGAGGTTCTGATAAGCACTGAACGTGCTCCAATAACCATTTTACCAACGCTTGCTTCTTCTCTTGGACTGCCAGGCATAATATATTCATTTTCTTACCATCATCCCATATTCTGGCATCCGCACCTTTTTTCAGCATCACTTGGATAACATCATTGGGCCATTCATATTTTATAGCCAAGAACAACGCTGTGGGAGCGTAGAAGTCCTAAATTAAAAATTAAAATAAAATAAGATAAAATAAATAGATATATAAAGATTAAATTTAAAACTTACATTTTTGTATATTGACTTCACAGTGCACGGCAAATTAGGATTAGCGCCGCAATTCAGTAAGGTCGTGATTATCTGCTGTTTCTCCTCATGATTTGTTGTATCAGTCAAAAAGTATGATAATACCGTTCGACCATCTTTATCACGTGCGTTTATCGGACAACCATTCTTACATAGTATCTCGATTGCCTCTACCATGTATTTTACATATTTATCCAATTTATTTTTCTCATTTATATCTTTTTTTAACTTGGAGTTATCATATAATCGATGAAGGGCAGTTTTTTTATCGCCGCTTTTCGCCTCAAAATCCGCTTCGTATTGTTGCAAAGTTTTTAACATACTTGATAGTAATTTCCCTTCGCAATAAGCTGACGCTATATGTACCAGAGATTCATTAATGCATCTGTACATATATTTGCTTTTGGAGGGATCTCCGCGATCAAGGTGATACTGTAATCCTATAACATCACCGACCCCGACGTGCAGCCCTGGATTACATCCTTTCGGCTCGACATATCCATTTTTTGTTTGATTATCTGCGATATATTTATCACGAAGTTCGTTACATGTTCTCCTTTCGGAATAATCAGGGCGATTGGTTTTATTCTGGTCTATATAGACAGTTTCGTGAATACGAAGCGTTATTTAAATTTTTTAAAATAAATAACAATTATTTCATTTGGATACTTACTATAGTTTGGATGTGAATGAGGTTTAGGTGGAAGATATTCGGTTTGTTGATCATAATTTTGTAGAGATGGTGTTGAAGCTACAGAATATGATCTATGGTCATTATCCCCTTTGCTGGGAGTATAATTTTCACCTTGACTGGAAGGGTATACATCACCATGACTTTGTGGGTATGGTTGTGGCTGTGGATAAGATTGAGGCTGAGATTGAGGTGGGTAAGCTTGGGGTTGAGGTGGATAGGATTGATTTTGAGGAGGAGGTGGGTAAGGTTGAGAATGAGATGGTAATGGATAGGATTGGTCTTGGGGTGGTGGAAGATAAGGTTGAGACTGAGGTGGCGGAAGATAAGGTTGAGACTGAGGTATTGGTGGATGATAGGGTTGATTTTGAGGTGTCGGTGGATATAATTGACTTTGAGGTGGAGGTGGATATAATTGACTTTGAGGAGGTGGATATAATTGACTTTGAGGTGGAGGTGGATAAGGTTGACTTTGAGGTGGAGGTGGATAAGGTTGACTTTGAGGTGGAGGTGGATAAGGTTGATTTT